TTAGTTTTTTTTCTATAAATATCAATAAAAATTTTTTTTTTTGGGTAAAAAAGCATGAAAATTTAACGCAAGGCTCCTGATATATTGTAACAATATTAGTTGAAAAGTATTAAAAATACATAGGCACAATTTTTTCTTATAATCATTTAAAGTTCGAATTTTGAGAAAATTTATCAAATTTAAAATGTAATAAATATTTTGTAATTAAAAATTTATAAAATGTTCAACTTTCATAGTTCAGGATTTAAAATTTAAAACAATGGTCCACGTAAATAGGCAAATATAAAAATTACTTTATTTACAATAATATCATCAAATATACTTAGTAATTTCATAGGCTCACTGGACCGTTTTCGCTTAGAATCGTTTTTCTTATACAATGATATTATATCATTGAATTCAAATTTTACACCATCCATTACAGTGACCCACTTGTAACCTACTGTACAGCAGAGCGACATCCACTTACCCACTTTTTTGTTTTATTGTGTGACTATGTTGATAATTTTGTTCAGCCCCTCCCGAAATAAAATTCTGGATACGCGCCTGCCCCTCAATATTTGTTTGATACAATCAAACTAGCATTGTAACTATTTTATTATTAGTATAAATGTGGTAATAATATGATTAATCATATATTTTTATAATATTATAATTTTCTAATAGGTATGAAATATGAATTCATATAGTTTACCTTTGCAATACTCACATACTATAATATATTATTCATATTATTTCATATTGTATTAATATATTATATAGATTATAGGGTATTGAACTGTTGCGCCGTATTTGGGTAAATAAATATAGTTTTGTATTTTTTTTTTCAAACTTTTACTGTATTGATGGAATGGATAAATGTATTCATAGTGTTAATTAGAAAATCAAGGTAGCAAATTTGAAGATGAATGCTCAATAGACAATAATAATTTCACATTAAATTACCTATTAAACACAGAAAACATTTAGGTAATTTGTTTATTTAATAGACAATAGTAGGTAGTTGTAATTTAAATAATAAAAACGTTCATCAAACAAACTAATATTTATTTAGAATTTATTATGAATAATCTAAATCAAATAATATTTAAATGTATATTTTCTTTTAAAATAATAAAAAAAATCCCTCATTACTATTTTTTATATTAAAAAATATTCACTCTCATTCAATAATTAATAATTATTGTGTTTGTGTATAATGTTTGGTGCATACGTACATGGGATGGTAAATTAATTATTACCTACTCATTAGCCATATCAATATGTCGACTACAGTCAATACTTGAAAACTTTCATAATGTAACATGTAATAATATAACAATGTGAGAATCACTATCCCATTATAAAAAAATTATATAAGAATTATAAAAATTTAGGTTGGATACCATATTAATTTTATTCAAAACTTTTTATTTTTAACATTTATTTAAAAATATACAGTCAATAAAGATATTTTTACAGAAAGCATATAACATGAGTCAGGTATTTTTATCTTTATGCATAAATGATTTGGTTAAATTTCATTCAAAACTAAAGTTGGGTACTAATTATATATTTCAGAATTTCACGTGGACTGCATAAAGAATTAACCAACAGCCAATCATAACCACAGTCACTCAAAAAATAGGTACTCTTTGATTAAAATGTATTATCATACATTATGGCATTTTAATAATTTCTCGTTATGTCTATAGAATACAAATAAAAACGAATTATAATAGCAGATATCATAATATTAAAATATTATTATTAAACAAAAAGATTGTTAGAATTTTTTTTTAAATTAAAAAATAATACCTAAACAAAAGGTATTTCAGAAGTATTCAGAGGTATTTCAGTTTAAGATAGCTTAATATATTAAAGTATGTAAAATGTTCAATATCTATATAAAATATCTATAGGTATACAGCTAAGGAGATTAATTAAAATTTTATCGTTAAAAATGTAAACCCATAAAAATGTTATTGTTTAAGTCATAAAAACGTGTTTCAATTTTAATTTTTATAACAAATCTGTGGGTTAGGTAAAAGTATTTATATTCTATGGTGTGCAAATGCACATTACGCACCCTTACATAGTTGACAGTTGTATCATACAAATTAAGCCCCCAATGAATATACATTTATATTTTATTTATATTATGCTAATCAAAATGTATATTGAATAAATAAATGAATTAATAGTTTTTTTTAAATTTTTTTTTATATAAAACATTGGTAGTTAATACATAATTTATATAACTTCTATAACGACTATAAAGATAATTTAAGGATATTTTACCAGTCTTTTTTTCTACAAATAACAATAACTGAGTGATGTTATGTATACATTATTGACTTATAAAATATTTCCTGTTATTTTTCTTGCAGTTTCTAGGGTTCTTCATTATTTATGGTTGTTGCCTTATGAGTTTGTTTGGATTTGTTTTTTTTTAAACTTTTTTCAAAAAGACTATATTATGTTTTGTAGAATATAGATTAACAGAAGCATATATTATATTATATTTACAATTTACATTATAAATTGCACACAAATTATATTTCTGTATAATTTAATTTTTTTAATTCCTATAGTGAATTATAATATTATATAGATATACATTATTTGTATGAATACAATTTAAAACCTTTTTTTAATAACCTAAATACGTATAGTTTATTTATGGTCAGCAGTTAATACTTTAATAGTTTTATACTTGTAGGATTAAATATTAGATTCAATATATATATATATTGTTAAGAGAAATGCGTTTTATTAAGTAAATGTTTTAACTAAATATTAATAATAATAAAAAGTTTTATATCTGATATAATATAGCTTATGAAATTGTATAAAGTGGATAAAACATTATATAAAATTGATTTTTAGATTTCTGATATTGATATGCTTCAGTAATTTTTATTATCGTATATTTAAACAAGTTTTATTTAGATCAAGGATGTTTTTTTATTTTTAATAAAATATTATATCATGTTTGATAGAATTTCGAACTCAAAATGGATAGTTTAATGTGTATTTGAATTCTAATTTTTGAATAACTTAAGGAATTTTACCGTTCACATAGGTACCTAACTAATTCAAGAAGAAGCTCATATTTTGAGTCTTCTAATAAAAACATTATATTAACCTAAAAATCTAAAAAAAAATAAACTAGTATAATACAATAAAAAAGAATTCAAATTTTTTTGGTATATTAAGTACGTTTCAGCTAAATTGGAAAGGTTAAGTTAATATTTTAGAAATAAATTTATTAATTCAAAGCTGAGGAAGTTAATGATTTTTTTTGAGTTAATTTAATTTTTGATTAACTTAGTTAAGCAATTATAGTAATGTTAAGTACATAATATATTTTTTAAACTTTTTATTAGTTAAATTAAAAAAAAAGTTTTGTTCATAATTTTTTTTTTTACAACATTTCCTCCTTTAATTTTTTATTAAAAATTAAACTTTACAAAACTGTAACACTGTAATTATACAGTATTTCTATAACGAACTTCATTGAAGTTTTTTGTCATTATTATAAAAACAATTCACACCAATCAAAACCCAAAATACTTTTGATGTGAAAATTAAATTGATTGCAATGTTAAAATATACCTACAATAAAATTGAAAAATAAATTTAACCAACCTAAATTAAAAATGAATTGGTTGATTTCACGTTAGTTAATAAAACCAAAAAGTTATTTAAGTAGGTAGTTAAATTATCGGAAACCCAAAAGTTGCAAGTTAAGTTACAAAGTTACAACCAAATTAACTTTAAATGTTTAACTCGTCAATGCTCATGTTTGCTTGTTATTGAATTAAACTTTAAAATGTTTTCATTTTAAAATTTAATATTTATATCAAATTAATTAATTAAAAGAATAAATTATCCCTAGGTAATGAGTGGAATAATTCTTTAAAATGAAAAATACACAAACTACATTTATAGTGATTAATTTAAAAAAGGCTCAAATACTATAATCTACATTTATTTATTGGCAAAAAAAAAATGAAATATAAATATGTAATACTGAATATTGTATTTGTACCTATTAGTTGTACCTATTATAAAAGTACCACATTCAATTGCAATGTTTTCTATTTTGAAAGATTTTTTATGGATGTCCAATATTTGTATAAATGAAGTATATTATATACTATATACATACATCAAGTAGGTACCTATGACTATCGTATTACATTTTAAAACAAACTTGTTCGATCCATTTTATTGACTTTCTTAATTCTCAGCTCATGGATTTGCCGGATAGATTCGAATTGTTGTGAATTTGATGAAGTAATGCTTTTAACAAAATCACCGTCACAATTAAATTTGATGATAATAATTAATAAATAATTACAATCGTAATTTCGTATTGATAAACACCGTATATACGTTTCTTCGGATATTGCATAAAGCCTATGCCGTATTATAATATGTGACAATTAAAAAAATAACTAAGTACAAGAGATAGAGAATTACGCCCATTTCCAGATCGTAAATCCACTTTTTTTTTTATATCTTTCTTACTTTTTTTGTGTACACACGCAAACTATGACGTGATATAATCTATAATATTATATTGGTTGCGCGTACTTGTGCAGGAGTGCTCAAAATGGGAATATTTGTTTAATTCTTATGATCTTAATTTTTTCATTTGATGCAAGACAAAAGCTACTGACTAGAGATCACAGAACGTTACATTAGGTAGTAGGAATGTACTTACGTGCATAACAATATTAATTATGAAATGCAATTTACGTGATAAAAAGGACAAAATAGTTTTATTGCATGATGTGACGAAGCGCAAACAAGTTTTCTGACCACTAGATGGCCCGTTTGGGTATTAAGCACAGGGGCGGCTACTTTGACTGGCTCCGTTGATCTAGTTTTGTCGGACTATAAAACGCACAACTGTTCTTTGAAATAGATCACAAATCAATCAGCTTCTTCAGCAAGCACAATACAATATTATCACTCATCTATATTTTGCAGACCAGCTAAAACCAACCACCATGAAATCCGTAAGTTTATTTTGTTCGTTTTATTCTCGCACTTAATACTATATTAAATCCATTAGTCTCGAGTCCACTATTTTTTCAAAGTATAGATAAACTTTGCAGTGTGCATCTCATAAGTCATAGATGTTTAGTTTAATTTTTCGCATGCAATAAATCATACTGTTTAAACAGCAATTGTATTTTAACGGTTCGTACTTTTTACTATTTGGATACGATTCATTTTAAGTCTCACAAGTACATCTGCGTATAACTAAGTTACAATTATTAGTTAACAATATATTATACATTTATAGTATAAATTAGGTAGTTGAAATCGTTGTGATACTATCTAGTCAAAAAATTAAATCGTCAGTTAATACAATTAGTTATAATGTCAACTATACCAATATTATTTATAGTACCTAGGTACCTACTTATTAGCTATTGATATTAATTTTATAAAACTTAACATTAATAGATTATTATAACATCAATGCTATAGCGTAGGTACACGTCTAGGGCCAGACATACTATAATAATATGTCTACACCAGTGTAATTTTATTACTTATTAGGTAGTATTAAAGAATATAGTTAGTAGTTGTATAATATTATGATAATAATAATATTAATAATGTACTTCTTTATTCTCTTATTGTTCTAGTAAATAAGCTATTATTATTATTATGGCTGATGGAGATAACATTAAGTTTTTTTCATGTTTTCAGTACGTAGCTGCCGTTTTATTGTTGGCTCTTGCCGTCTGCGCATTCGCCGAAGAGGCCAAGCCGCAACAAGCGTCTCCTGCCAAGACAACTGACAAGCGCAGCATCTACGGATTGGGCTACGGCTACCCCGCGTACCACGCACCTCTCTCCTACCCGGCTACCCCATTGGCTCTGCCCACGTCCTTCGTCTCGCCACTGAAATACCACGCACCACTGTCCTACCCTCTGTCTTACCACGCTCCCCTCTCTTACCACGCTCCCCTCCCCTACCACGCTCCTCTCTCCTACCACGCACCCCTCTCCTACCACGCACCCCTCCCATATCACGCTCCCATCTCTTACGCGTCCCCTCTGTCCTACCATGCACCAATCTACAAGGCCCCGTACTACGCCCCATCTATCTACTAATTGATGATATCGAACTCGTCAACCGACCAACTGTTGCAATAATGGGAAAAAATCATATATAATCTGAACTATAATAATTGCTACGTTGTCGGTATTCATTGTATTTGTAAATCATTGTTAATAATCATATTATTTTATTTTATTTGTATATAAATATTTGTGCATTATCATGAAATATTATATTATGTATTTATTAATAAAATAAAAAAAGATTTCAATTCTCTTAAAAATCCGTTTGTGTTTATTAAAATTTATATTTTTACAGAAATACATATGAAAGTATTATAAACCTATAGGTACCTAAATCCTCTGGGGTTGATTAATGTTTAAAACACGTACTACTTCTTGGTGGTGGACAACTGAGCGTTGTTGTTGGCGTTGTTGGCCGCCGAAGAGAAGTAACTGTACGAATACGGCACTGGACTCTGGCCGGATTGTTGCGGCTGGTACGTGGCAGGATATTGCGACGGCTGGTAAGTGGCTGGATATTGTGATGGCTGGTACGTTGCCGGATATTGTGATGGCTGGTATATGGCCGGATATTGTGACGGCTGGTACGTGGCCGGATATTGTGGTGGCTGGTATGTGGCCGGATATTGCGGTGGCTGATAACCGATCGGATATTGCGATGGTTGATATGCGATCGGATATTGCTGCGGTTGGTATTGTGGTACAAACGACTCGGCAGGTCCGTTGTAGTACGGAGGCTGATATGCGGGTACCGATGGATTCGTGAAAATGCTATTGCCATTCGGTTGTACCACACAAGTGGGTAAATAACTTGGTTGATACAAAGGTGCATTATTGACCGCTGCTGCAGCAGTTGTCGGCTGTGGTGTTTGTAACGGCTGTGCGATAGCTGCAGTACCGCTGTTGTACGAAGCTATTTGACGCTTATTATCCTGTTTTGCTGTCCCTTTTTCGTCGGCCACTGCCACGGCCACGATGATCGTAATGATAATCTATAAAAAACAAGATTATATTAGGAAAAATACAAAGAAAAAACGTATACCTACATAAAATATTTTTTTGAATACTTTAAGATGGGCATTTTTTTCCTATACTAAAAAATAACTAGTATAATGAAATATGAATACAACATTTTGTATAAAAAAAAATGTATTATCCTGTTCAGAGTTGTTAGCATAACATTATGTCATATATGTTGACAGCATTTTTATAATAAAATGTTAAATTTTTATACTGATGTATTAATTTATTAAGAACTTAATTTTATTTAGACTCATTAGACTCACTATAATTCCTATGCAGTGTATGCATTTTTTTATAGTTTAATTTGTACAGAACTATTTATATTATTTTAGCTTTAATAAAAGTATAGGTTATTTATTACTATAGTGTTTATTATTTACTCCAATATTATAAAATAAAAATCAATTCAATAATACAACAGCACAAGTTAAAAGTAAAATTAAAAAATAGTCTTAAAATGTACAACCATAAATTAGGTTATGTTAAATACCTGTTATTAGTTAAAATTATTATTTATTAGAATTATTTTCATAAAATTGGTAATTCATATTAGTTTAACTTTTACAAATATGCGTAGCTTATTAATTATACTGATATTAAATTATTCATACCTATAAATTATAATATTAATAGTACATTTGGCTCATTCACCCAACTACCCTAGACCCAACAACATTGTAAATTTTTATATACCAAAAACGTAAATAATTAGTGGTAGATATAGGAGCTATTGATAAATGACAACTTTTAGAAATATAAATTGATAATAGTTTGAAATTTAAAAATCTTTTAAGTTACATTTTAAAGTAGTATAACCTATTTATTATTTAGATTTGTTTTAATTTAATATATTAATCATTACTATACCATCTAACCTCCATCGTATACAACATTTTCTTATGAACTTATAATAATTTAAAAATTATGAAAATCAACTAAGATAAAAGCATTATCTACGTCATAGAAGTATAGAACCAAATAGTTACTCGTAAAATTAAAAAAAATGCAATCTTTCTAATAGTTATTGAATTTAATGAAATTTATAATATAAGGAAATATTAGGGGAATATAGTGGTTCAATAAATGTACTGTTTTATTGGCTATGGAGAATTAATTACACCTATTTCATACTTTTTTTAAATTTATATTTTATGGTTATTATATTATAGGTATGCGACGTGTCTATAGTATTGTTATAAGTCTTAAAAAAAGTTATACATACATAATATAAAGGCATTAGAGTTGTAGTTAAATGTTGTACTTACCAAGGATTTCATCATGTTGTCGAAGTAGGTATACCTAGGTAAATTTTTTTTTAAATAATCACTATACTAACTAATCGAAAGTCGAAGTGCTTGTACTTCTATTGGTACGGATCCGTTGTCTTTTATACTCTGATGGAAATCTTGATACAATTATAATCAAAATGTTAATCTTCTATTTATTGTTGTCATCATATCGTCATACAATAGTTTTAGAAGGTTGCTTAAGCACTAAGAAACCACATTTTTCTATGTACTTAAGACTATTATTACTACACAACAATTAACCACATTTTCTTTTTATTTTTATCCGATCTTCTTCCTATTATGATCATTTCGAAACCAAATTGTTAACATTTTCAACAACAATCAATCTTTGCGTTCATATATTCCATAAAGGTAACATAATACCCTTCAATACACAACTCAGCAGTAAATAAGGTCTTTTTAATTATCTACTTAATTAATTACTCTTGCCCGGTGATTTTAATAAATATGTATGTTAAGAACTTTTATCTTGTAGATCATATGTTGCAAATTTTAAAAAGTGACTACATTTTTAATACAAGTTGGTTGAATAATTTGATTGTGCTTTAATTTCAGGTAGAAATAATTGTAACCAATATAAGAAATGTACATAATATTATATAATTTAGTTAGTTTTTAATATGTGATAAATATAATATAATATAAAACTATGTATTACACTCAATAAATCAGCCGTAGTATACGATACGTCGATATATATTATATTTTTATATACATAGTATTTTGTTTTCCATAATTTGTTAGTAGGTATAGGATGAGTTGGGAAGATATAATTTAAAGACAATTTTGAATCAATTAATAGAAGGTCAAACAATATAACACGAGCAGCTGATAGGGAGAATTTGGGGATTGGATGTGTGACGGGGTTTTTATAATGAGTGATAGATCCTAAGAAGAAGAATAAGAGGAAGTTAATATTAGTAGATAGTACCTAAATGACGCATATCCTCAAAATATTACTTTTCATTGAACGATAATATATCCTAAATTATATTTCGTCTCTAGTCTTTACAGTCTTATTTCGAGATTAGACCTGATTAGTAGACTACCGCTATAGTCTATACCTACTAAACAAAGACCAATCATATCAAATATATGTGTGAATAGTTTTCAAATGGTTTGAAGTATTATGTTGAATTCTCATTTTTTTATATCATCACTATAACATTTTACTAATGAAGTTTTTATCTAAATAAAAATACCATGTAATTAGGTAATTAATTATCAGTTATCACTATATAATATCAAACATGTATAGGTATACTAAAAGACAAAACAACTTTTCAACTAAATGGTCTTCAAAATAAAAATGTCTGATAGTGAATGATGGTTTTTTTTTCTATTGTTAAATATGATCTCTTAAATTCTCTCTAAGCTTTAACATGGACCGTTATACTTCATCACATTTTTTAAAATTATTTAACTTACAAAACTTTTACTTCATCACTGTCTAGTGAGGTAAGACTATAAGAGAACATATTTTGTCATTATTTATTTAAATACGAAATGTATCAGTGAAACTTTGCAAGTTTTAATTTATTCGAGTTTATAAGTAATGAGTCAAAAGTACTTAAAACTATAATTTTTTTTATGTATTATATAAAATTTAAAAAGTCAAACACTATTAGATAACAGTCGACTGGAACTGTATAATCTGATACAATATATTATATTCAAGTCGTTGCGATTATACCGGAAATCGTAAAACAATGTACTATAAATTTAAACATATGGGTAATTTTGTGTATATATACGTAGTCGGTATTTGTTATTTATTGACACGCATTAGGTAGTTGACTTCTAATATCTCGTAAATCCGGTTTTTATGCGTACGTTCTTTAAGTGACATTTATTGAAATGGAATATAATATTTTGTTGCAACAAAATTTCACTGTTTGATTCAGTGACGAACTGTTATGTTTTTATTTCCAAGTTTAATTTTCCGTGAAATAATTAACAACATTTTACTTAATTATATTCGCAAATGTAAAAACATATTCTATTTAAAAATTGCAATATATTATAATAATTAGTGACATAATATTAAATAGACATGACTGATAAAAAAAAAAATACAATTAAACATAATATATAAGTATACTATACTAAAATATTTCTTATTTATAACTAAAATCATTGTTCAAAATTTAAAAAAAAATGTTTTACTTGATATTTTACAGAGTATACAATAAAAAACAAAATGTAAAGTTTATTTAGTCTCTATTGTTCCATGTAGCCCACTAAAAACATACACACACACACACACGCGCGCGCGCGCGCTGGATTGGAATTCAGTAGAAAATATCCTTCGACTTCCCATGTCGAAGGAAACCATAATGGATATAGTTATAAAATTATAACTCGTTTTTTAGCATTAAATATGTCCATTACCAATTATTCACAATCATACGATTATAATTATCTTGGACAGTATGCCATAAGCTGTATACAAATACACCATCATGTTATACAGAAACGAGAACAAGGATTTTAATTTTTATATTAACAAAGTCCCAATATTTGCTATTATTGTTTCAATATAGTATTAGTATACAATAAATAATTTATAATTTACACACGATATACAAAAATATGTTCCACACAATTTTACTCTAAAATAGACTTTTGCTGTGTGATATAGTAAAAACGTAAATTGATTTCGTGATATAAGTACCTACAGTTTAAATTACATGAGTTTTCCCACGAACTTGTTCGGTGGGGCCCATTATTTACTTGAGTATTAACTAAAAATTAATAAATATTATAGTCTAATATTAATATTAATATAAATTATGAAAGGTTTTTTATAACTCAAAGCTGTAAAGTTGATAGTTGGTATAGGTATTTGTTATTTAGCAAGACTATAATGTTAAATGTTAACGTATAATATGAATATTTTATAACTATAACTATTGACTAAAAAAAAGTTACAAAATACTTCACCATGTCATCTTTAACGAATTATAATAGAAAGTGAATGGTATCACAAGGAAATCACATGATTTAGGAAATTATCGTTTCTGATACTGTACTTACGATCCATTCAGATTACGCATGTTACCTTCTACCGATTTTGGCAAAACCAGTTTGACTTAACAGTTTTACTTATATCTATATGGCTCGCATTTCTGTTTTTTAATAATACAAATTTGTCATCAGTGTTTGTTGACATTATAAATGGTATTTTATTTGTGTCCACTGTTTCTTGTGTATTGGTTGTATCACACACGTATGTATACGATGTTCCTAACCAGTTGGCCATAACTATGCAAGGGATGAGTAAATAAAAAATCATAAAGTGTAAATGTATTCATTAAAAACGTAAATACTATAAAGACACCATTCATAAAACTACTAGATAACTAAAATCATCTGTTCATTATTAATTAGATATTGATTTATTTCATTGTAGTATTTCATGAGGAGAAATTATTTGGTGGATTACCTATTGATGCACTATTGGTTTATACAGGATGTGTAACGATTGAATTTTCTATAAGTGGTGACAAATTTAATGTCACAGATAGAAAGCTGATGATTTGGTGTAGTATAAATATACAACGTACAACTAATAACTAGATAGATTTTTCAAAAATAATTTTTAATAAATTTTAGTATTATTTTTTATTTGGCACATCTACCTATAAAAAATTATTTCTAGATACTTCAATAAAAAAAAAATTAAAAATCTTTTATGTATATTAACTTCAATATAATATATATTATGTAAAATTATATTTTCCTCTTTTTGTTGAAAATAATAATAATCGATGAGGGAAATAAAGCAAATGGATATTGGAGGCAGAACAAATTGTTTAATTAAAATAAATAAAATAGTATACATATTTTTTTTTGGTCCTAAAATTATGGTTTTTAAATTATTTTTATTTTATTTGTTATAAATTATAAGTTATTAACAGCAACAAACATAAAATAATTATGTAACAGTGGTTGAGTTCTAGAATTCTTACAATTGCATATTTTATTATAATAAATTATTATTTTTATTTTAAATACAAAAGGTATGTTTAAAAAATATTTAAAATTAATTAAAGTAAGATAAATTTAAATATGGAATTGTATTTATTTTTATTTCGAACTATTTCAATAACACGCTACTTTATTAGGTATATGAAATATAGAGTACAAAACATGAATACATAAATTCTGATAATATTATAAGAACTAAAAATAAATTACGTAATATTTTTATTTAAATATATTTTGATGAATTTTTAATACCCAAATGCCATTAACATATTCTTACACAATAGTTATCGTTGTGTAAGATACCTAGTTGTTTTGGAAATAGATAAAGCTAAAAACACTTCGAATAAATTTCTTTTGAATTAAATTGTTAAGTCAATATTAATTATTGTTTAAATAAGGAAACTTATTTACTTTAATTATAAAACACTTTTTATAGAAGTTTCAAACAATAGAAAGTGGAAATATAACCTGTATAAATATTTTTTCACTTAAATTGAACTCGACTTTACATGGAACACTATTACAAACAAAAGTCAATTCAAAATATACTTTTCGTTTATATCGTGACGTCAAAATATGCATTGGAATAAAGTTGCTTTAAGTTTCAAATATGGTACACTGGTACATATGTATTTAAAATCATAAAATGCCAATGCGATCTGTGATCCCTTCTTGCATTTTAATTAATTGATATTTAATCATGTACCTTGAACCTACTCATGTTATATTTATATTGTTAACTTGAATTGTTCATGTACTTTATGAATTAAGGACAAGGCCAAGGTAGAACTTACTGCTAAATAAATAGTAATTAACGTATATAGGTACTTATTTCTTGAGGGCCCTTAATAAGTTGAATTTTGTCAAAGCCCGTAGCCCCACTAAATCTAGCCCTGCATTTTTTCTCCTCTGTTTCTGTAGACCTGGTGTGCAGGTGCTTTTACATTACTTCAACCCTGGGCAGCGTCACTACCCCACATCATTTATTTTATAATACTATAAAATCCGGCACTGCCTATACTTTCCTAAGTACACAAAGTTAAAAAACTTAAAAATTATTCTTTGAATAATAAAACAAAATATAATTAAAAAACTAATGTAGGTGCTGTACCGTACAGCCTGTACGACTAACCTAACCTAACCTAATATGTTTTCAGAAATACTTAACAAGATAAAACAAATTGTTGAGTTTAGCTCAATAAACTGATACAGTGGTAAGTTAGGTTACAAAGGTAGGTACCAGAGCTTGCATTTGAAAATAATTCAGTTTTACGTTATTCTGAATTAAAACGTTGTCCAAGTTTTGCGTTTATCATTATTTAGAATAAAAAGTTATTTTAACTCCCGTTTTCCAACAATCCAGCAAGCAATTAACTACTTAATTTTTTACAACATCGTTAACAGAAAATTATAATTTATTATTTTAATAATATTTAATATTGGTATAAATGGTATTCTATATACCTAACACCTAGGTATTTTATATAATTACGTTGGACATTTTAACTGAATAAGTTAATAAGCTAAAAACAAAAATAATAAACTAGTTAAGTTAAAAAATTCAAAAAAAATAACTTTTTATCTTAACTTTAACTTTCTAACAAGTTAATGTCAACCTTTGCATTTTCAGTACTGGGTTGGGAATTGTTCTACCCATGATTGCGTCATTTGTTTTAATATATAGCTAATATAAATAAAACTGATGTTTTAACAACAGTATATACTTTAACACTCACAGAGTGAATACAAAATAAGTCTACACTTTATACTTCTACTACTTATGTTATTTTAAGGCCCCCAAATTCACATAGATTACATTATTTACTGAATATCATAATTTAAAATTTTTTAATATTTCTAATATAAATTTCGAACGCAAAAGTATTAAAATTATGAAACTGCCACTAGAGAAAAATTTCTAGATTCTGACTTTAAAGATTTACACCAACGAACTAAGAACTAAGAAGAGACGTATTCATTTAACATTCCCCTGTGAACAGACTGGTAAATAAAACTAGTGGTACATCATACAACTCAATAAATACACTGTTTGGATTTTTCTCTAATTTACAAAATTTAGAGACAAAAGAAATACAAGTCCATTGTAAAACATTTATGGAATTTTATCAAGTAGACATTAATAAAATGATTTAATTTTAGAATGTAGGTATACACTTAAAAGCGAAATTGATATTTCTGAATTCAGTATTTCTAGTACATACAAATGTTTAAAATCAAATAGTCTAGAAGAAACATTTCCAAACATAATAATATCTATCCGAATTTTTTATCAATGATGATTACCAACTGTAGTGGAGAACGTTCATTTTCTAAGTTAAATTGAATTAAAGAAGATCTTAGAAGTACCATGCGCCAGAAACAGTTAAATTCCTAATCTTTAATGAGTATTGAACATGAACTACTACCAATCTTAGATTATGAAAATGTTAAAGAAGACTTTGCGAATGAAAAGAAACCATTAAAGAGTATATTTTAATAATTGACAAATTTATATCAATTCATATAATATTATTTTTTATGACAATTATTTTAATTTTTGTTTAATGAATTACATTTATTTTTTAACTATAAAACATATTAATGTATAAATAATTAATATCTTGACGTTTTAATTAATAGGAAAGTATTTTTTGACCGTATCTTTGAAATATAATAACGATAAGTAACAGAGATTTAAACAAAAATTCACTTTTTACTAATGAAGTATAATATTTAATAAATAATAATAAATTATATGTTAAAAATGTATATATTATAATTTAGTATTATAGGCCCCCCGAAATATGTTTGGCCCGGGGCCCCATAAAAACTTTAGACGGCTCTGATTGTATTATATTTTTTGTATACAAATCCTATACAATTGATTTCCGATTAATCAGGAAGTGTTTAATTTAAGTTGTTTTAAAATGTTTAACTATAGTTCTAGCGAGATTGATTAATATTTCAAATTTCAATATGTCCACTGTCCACAGTCCAGTAAAACGAAAAGTGTAGGTAGATATATATGGTATATGCCTACTTAAGTATTTTATAAAAAAAAAATACATTCTTCGCTCCTCTCAGAATCTAAAATATTAAGCTTATTTTCTTCATTCGATATTCGTGTAAGCCCGTGGAAACAAACTGTACAAGGTCTGACATTTAACACAGCTGCCATATAAACCATCAAATAAGTTATTGAGTATTGTACTGTTTGCTATAAGTTTATTATACATTAAATACGTTATAACAAATAAATTGAATTTATACAAGTTATAAAAATTATAAAAATGCATTGAATATAGGGTAGATACTTAAAGATCTACGTATTTTTTTTACTTAAAATATACAGTAATATGATTATAGCTCGTTACTATCTGCAAATTGCAAAACTCTATTGAGTTACTCTTCAGTCTCAACCACTAAAAATTGTAAGCTTCACGTACTTATTCGTTTTCAATTATATATGACTAGGTACAATAATACAATACTAGTCTATGTAGGGCCATAATAACAATTTAATGTATCGATTATAGTGTAACTCAAAAAACAAATCATTAATTTAATTTAAATATCAGCCCGACATTTCAAAACAATCAACTTATTATTTTTTTAAATAATAACTTATTATTGACCAACAGTATAGTTTACGAGAATACAATTTTTAGTGGGTCCATAATTATGACAATATGGTGTCATAAGAAAATTGTAAAATTTCTGTTATTCGGTAATATTTTTTAATATGGCCACAGAGACGAGTCGGATGTGTTATACGGAACAGCGTATTATAGTTATAGTTACATGCGTCACGTCGGTCACCTTTTCTCAAAAAGTGGTGATTTCACACACCACACGTCCGTTGTGGTATTCCTTATAGGCCGCGATCGGTACCTACCGGTTTATCTGGGTAGTTATGTCACAAGCACACTTTATGCCTTGTCTCCAACGTCATCCGCGTGCCGACCGTTAACAAGGGACCGCGGGGACGGACGTCCCGACCGGTTTGTTCGGCGAGCGCACGCGTGTGCACAGGATGATGGACCGGGACGGTCTCCCCGGTTGCCCGGGTGAAAGTCTTGTAGAAAAATACGCCCTACCAAAGTGGTATATATAATCCGATTGCTCCGTGAAAATCGTCAGTCAACAACAGCACACGCCACAGTGCGAACACCTCCAAGGGGCTCACCGTCCATTCTTATCGTATATTATATACCTATATAATAATATTGTAGCGCACGCTGTTATCATCAAGACGAACCGAATCCAATCGGCCAATATGAAAATACACGTGAGTTTTTTGTATTATTATTATTTTTTTTTTTGTTTTGTTCTTTTTGAGTTAAATAACACCGTTACCGTACAGTAGTATAGTGGAGTAATTTACAATTGGCATTAGCCACGAATCTCTAGTTAAATATTAAACTGCACCGGAAATATATACAATTTACTCACAAACAAGCTAATATTCAACAAAGTTTATTATGTTCTTTAGTTAAAATTAACATTTTACAATAATCCACAGCAACCACGATATGACTGGTACATAAATATAACCTAACCTGACCGAAAACAGTTGACATCGACGATACTCATTAACCGTGTTATAAGCTCTTATACTTATTTATTTTTACAGGTGTTGATCGGTCTGGCGTGTTTGGTGGCCATGGCCACGTGCTCGGAAGACACTTCGGTCGAACAGACGCAAAAGGTGCAACAAGACCAACAGCCGGAAGAGGACCATCAATCCATCAAACGCGACGCAGTCGAAGATTACGGCGCGGAAGAGTCATACGCTCCGTCAGCCATCGCTGGCGGTGAAGCATACGCACACGCCGCCCCCGCCGAAGCATACGCACCGGCCGCTCATGGCTCCGAAGCATATGCCCCAGTAGCCCAAGCCGCAGAAGCATACGCACCATCCGCCGCTGAAGGTTACGCACCGTCCGCCGCCGAAGCGTACGGCCCATCTGCATACGCCGCCGCTCCAGCCGCTTATGCGTCTCCTGCCGCATACGCCGGCCCCACAGCTTACGCCGCAGCCGCTGCCCCGGTCGGTATCGCCACCGCTCCTGCCGCCTACGGATACGGACATTCCGCATATCCCTCAGTTTCCGGGTAAGTAATCGTGCTTCAGTGCTTACCCTATAAGTATAGATACTTGTTGCGTGTTGTCGTATGTCGCTTATCCTGCTTAGGTATTGTGAACAATATTAATTAGGACATTCGTATTCACCCCTGCAGTCATATTACAGATATGTCGCCATGTCGGGATTACATCCTTTATAGTCAAATTGCACATATTTTTACAGTCATATTTTCGTGTATAAAATCTATGAACATAATGTAGTCTGACATTAAAAAAAACGGTTATTAGATAATTTAGCCGATATAGGTAGGTACACCAATACTAAAATCCACACCAAGCCTACTCAGTGATAATCCGGTATCCCGAACTTATCTTCTAAAGATTACGGTGTGTGTTGGCGTGGTTAGTCATGTGACTGTAAATAATCGAAACAGATTTTTTTTGTACGCGTAATAACTAAAAAAAATTCAAAGAAAATATAAACATCAAATGGCGGAATGAGAGAAAACCAGAGCCTTACGTAAATATCTTATAAACGTGTTATTTTATATCACGAGGTCCATCCACGTAGAAAGCCGATCTGCATGTTTATACTGTGTAGATATTATAATAATTTATAATATTTTATTAGCAGCGGTGTCTGTTCTGTATAAGGATATGAGTTGTATTAATATTCGACTTGAAAGTCGAAATTTCGTGATATTTTTTGAAATTGTCTAATGTGCATTTCTCTCGTGTATCATCTCTATAAATTAAAATCTCGTTGGTTTTAACGTCCGCCTGCTTGTCATATTACTATACTATATAATATATTGTATACACACTACGACCACGTAATACATATTTGGCCGTGCACGTTTTCATGGTAATAATCGTTATTCGGTAATCGATTCCGCCGAACGGAAATGGCGTGTAGTTGACAGTGGGCCGCGACCAATTATTTAGTTGTATAGTCTACGATCGCCGCCGTGAGTACAGACCCGTGAAAACGTCCATCGAGATAAACAATGAGAAAAATCGTAAAAAAATAAAGTATAAAAATAATAAAAATATATTTAAGAAAAAAACAAAGCTCAAAATGTACAACAAGTTTGGAAGTGGAAGTGTAAAAACTGACCTATACTCCTCATAACTACCATAATTAGTGAAATTCAAATTTTTTCAACTTTACTGATTTTTCAGATACGGACCAGCTTACGCTCCATCATACGGACCCGAACACGTGATCTCGCAACATGTTGAGATCAACCGCGCCATACCTGTGCCAGTGTACAGGACGATCGCGGTCGGCGTACCGCAACCTGTTGCCGTGCGCGTGCCGTACCCTGTGCCGGTCATCAAGACGGTCGCGTACCCGGTCGAAAAACCCGTGCCATACCCGGTTGACAAGCCTTATGCCGTGCACATCGAGAAGAAAGTTCCAGTGCCCGTCGACAGACCATACCCCGTGCCTGTGTACAAGGTTAAGCACATCTACCACGAGCCCAAGTGGGCTAAATGGCTCAGGGACTGGTAACAACCGTATACAAATGCCACGCCATACAATAATATTATATAAGTCGAAATACGCATTACGTAGTTGAGTTATGTTTAGGTTTTGTACTTACCTAACCTGACCTATAACCCAGCCGACTTAACTATTATTACCTGTATACCTAACCTGCCTGTACCCAGCTGTATATCGCCGACACGCACCGTAATCTGGACGGTCAACGATGCAACGGTACGGTTTATTTTCAATCGTTGTTTCTTTTTTGTTTTAGATAATACGACGTGACTTACAAACAATTTTTTTTAAGTATACACGCGTTTATATATAAATGTTAATAAATTATGTAAGCACAGCAGTGTTACGGTACTGATGATAATTGGACTGATCGTTCACGTTAACCCAGTGTGCATTTATATGATTTTGTTTTTTATTTTTATTTTACTTTATTTTTATTTTGTACTATAACTTTGTTAATTAGTATGTATTTTATCAACATCAATAATCAATTACAAGAACAATTAATAAAACACGATTATTTCCATAAAAAAATGTGTTGTATAATTATTTTTTTTCTCGTTGGTGTTGAAGACACTGACTAAACACGTGTTTATATACTGATTGAATTTTAAAAGTATATGTTTTCCACTAATTTTGTAAACAATCAAAAAATTTTCCAATTCAAAATCTTAACTTTTCCACACTACAACCTTCAAATAATTTTTTTTTTTAGTTCATTTAGTCTCTATAGTACAAAAGCGCCAAAATCCCAGAAACGTGACAAATTTAATATCTGATTAGTGATAATAATGATAGAGCGTCAGGTATAACTTTATAACATTTATATATTTTCGCTATGTACTTATAGTAAGCATTCGCATTTCTCATTAGCTGTACTGAAACTTACTTTTACATTAACAATTACAAATAAAGGCATTTTATTTAATGATTAAAACTATAGATATTTAAGAGAAACGGCCAGTGGTTAAGTTTTAGAGGTACTTATAGGTATATGGATTTTAGACTGAAGTACATAATATATCCATCAGAAATTCAAGCTGAAATTTCTGATAGGGATATCATACGAACTACAAAATATGCAGCTGAATCATCATGGCATTAAAGGACAAATTTTAGCTAGTATTAATTATTTTATCACTTGTAAAAAAGAACCACAAAAAACCGGTGGCGGGGAGAGGCCAAAGTCTCTGTTAATACATCACATATTATTTTTTTACAATCGATAGGTAAAACAATTAATATTGAGTCACCCGGTGCCAATGTAATTTTGTACACAAAAATACACTCTACGGGAATAATGATTCTGTTCTGTAAAAAAAATCAAATTTGATAATTTTTTTTTAATTGATAGAGGGTAATATTCTACAGACCGCATTGAACTCCATTTTTCAATATTTTAATCTCAAACATTATAGCATGTCTTCAAAAATAATACAATTTTAAGCATTTTTTTAGGCCTGAAAATTATTCCTTTGAAGTCATTTGATGCTATATAATACACCCTATAACCCCCCCCCCATCTAAAAAGGTATCGGGTAGTAGATTAGTGAAAAAGTTTTATATTTATGGTGGAAATTAAATTTTCAAATTTTATAGAATTACGGAAAATTTAAAAAACTGACACCGAGCCCATTAACTAAAAAATACATTTATGTGGCTTGTGAAAGTCGTTATTATATTGCACAGAGATAAACTTTTGGTTTTTTTTTTAACATGTGTAAAGTTTTCTTTTTTTAACAACATTTAAAGAAAAAACCAAAAAAAAACCAAAAAGTTAAATGTCTATAAATAACTCAAAAAGTTTTAAAATTATTATCGTTAAATAATCTACGATTATTCGTTTTTGAGTTACACCCATAGGTGCAATTTTTCGGGGGGAATTGGAGGGGCTAAGCCCCTTTAAAAATTTGTATGGCATTTTGAAGTTCATGATTTCTATTTTTATACACACGCATCGTGCACTGGTCATAGGTGCAACTAGAGAAATTATTCTGGGGGGCTACTATTTTATCATCAGCACAGACCCCTAACATTTTATTTAAACTAATATATGATTTAAAAACTGAGGGGCTACGGATAAAACTGGGGGGCTAAGCCCATAATTTCGCCTATGAAATTGATGCTATATTATATTGATATTTAATATTTATATGTGATCGTGATAAATGTTTTAGCACGTATATCAGTTGAATTGTGATAGGTAATGTATCAATTTATTTATTTTATTTTAATTATTTATTATCTTAAGTCCCCCCCCCTAGGATCATAATCAGTTATTTTTTATTTAACAAGATTATATTATTTATTTTCATTTATATTTCAATAATCCAATCATTGGCAAACCAGGGATCAATACATTCATCAGTACATTCCTTTATACCACGGTGGCTAATAAATGGTAAGAACTTCGAAACTAAGTCTGACCAAGACCGTATCCAGAAATTTATTTCATGGGGGAGGGGTCCATAACGGGTGGGGTACATGTCTTCGAATGTCATGTGTTCGAAGGTCATGTTTTTGAATGACGAGTGTTAGAAAAGTTATTTGTTAGAATAGTAATGTAATCGAAAAATTATTTGTTCGAAAAATATATGTTAGAAAAGTTGTATGTACGAAAATTATTTATTTAAATTAAAAGCTATCTAAAATTATAAAAATTAATAAACATAAAATTAAAAAAAAATATTTGGAAAAATATACCTATGCAGTTATAAATCAATAATTAAAAACTTAAATTATATGCAATTGCTTTTAAAAACTCCAATTTAAAATATTTAGGATTGTAGATTATTCGCTGTTGAATTGATTGCAATCTCATATTGCGGTCCACACCATATTTCTTTTTCTTTATTTGATGTCCGGATATTAACATTTCAATCTGTGATTCTGTTTCAGATTGAATTTTTTGCACGATTGTAATAAATTAGTGAAGCCCTGAATAAAATATATGAAATAAAATATTTATAAAATAAAAAATATAAAAATGTATTAGTTGTTCTCGGAAGTTCTGATCTAACACTTTATTTCTCAACATTTTATTCAGGGTTTCACAAATTTATAACAATCGTGCAAAAAATTATATATTATATAATATATATTAGATAGCTTTTTAATTTAAATAAATAATTTTCGTACATACAACTTTTCGAACATATATTTTTCGAACAAATAATTTTTCGATTACATTACTATTCGAATACATAACTTTTCTAACACTCGTCATTCGAAAACATGACCTTCGAACACATGACATTCGAAGACATGAACCGCTCCCGTCCATAACATGCATATTTTAATTTAAATACTGAATTAAGGTTTTGACATTTGGTTAAAAAAAAGAGAATAAAACAATATAATAGGTATAGAAAACGTACCTTTGGAAGTATAGAAAAATAGTTTGATAATACATTTTTGTTCTCTCGTTTACTCATCTCTAATGAATTTAAAGTAATAAAACTATCTGGATTGCTTGTTACAGTGTTTGGACGACGGTAAATTATAATAATATATTTGCGCTCGGACCGGCGTGGACATCATCACACAAACTTTAAAGTTCTTAAATATAACCAAATTGTATAACCTAAAAAAAATTGTAACTAATGGCCAATGTCACCGATGTTAATAAAAAACAATAATAATAATAAAAAAAGAATATTTATAATAATGTAGTAAAAAATTGCCTTATCCGACCAGCATCGATTCAGACGAATTAGACGGTGTAGTAAACCGACGTTTTTACACAAAAACGGCGTTCCAAAGGTTAGGTGGCCTGAACAACATCGCGCCACCAAAATAGGCCACTGAGGCTGCCGCCTCATTGGTTAATACTGATCAACTACACATCACGCCATTCCTATGACGTCAATCATCCTTTCCTAAATCCCGGGCATGTCTTATATAAATAGGGGCCCTGTTTCACAGACTTTTCAGACATAGAAGTAATTACCAGTGCTTACAATACTTGTGTGGGTCGTGGACTAGAAACAGCCGCATTGCCGTCCACATCAAGTATAATTTCAATTACAACTATTCTCCGGTAGAATTATTATTCTGTCGACAAATTTTAAATTACTTTAAATTAATTATATTATTAGTTTCGTGTTAATAAACATTATATCTATAATTAACTACATTTTGTGTTAAACTATTCTTACTCTACCTTCACTTCAACCACCATCCTCCGATTCATTGCGACGACGTGTACGTGCATTCGTCGTTAAAGAAGTGTGCAGTAACCAATCAAGTGAGAGCGACGGGTTACTACAACGGTATAATAATATTTTCATATTATGATTCCAAACATACAATATTTAATTGGATTTTTAGGTACTTATGACTACAAATATTTAATTTGGTATTAAAAATAAACAATTATTTTAAACATTAGTTGTAAATTAAAAAAAAATTAAATAAACGTAAGCTATAAATTATAATACTTGGCTTCAAATAAAAAAAATTGAAATTATGATTACCGTGGTGAAGTAGTTTTTAATAAAAACATTGATTAAAATAGTAAAATTATAAAAATAATAATTATTAATTTATACATATAATATATATTAATCAGTGCTATAAGTGGGCTTAGAACATAATCCTTTATTTTGTATAACACATTTTTTTTAAAACTTTTTATTTTTCTCGTTATTACCCATCGATTAAGGAACAATGATTAATGAACTGAAAAACTAAAAACCCTGAAACCTTTGTGATAAATGATAATAAAATGTGTTTATTTTTCCTATTTAATTATAAGACATATTATAGAAAATTCCGTTTTTTCAGGTAACAATATAAATGTAATATATTTCCTCGTTAGGCAATAGGGTACCTATACTACATAACCTAAATTATGTTTTTCATTAAAATAAAAGAGACTTAGAATTCTCCGAAAAAATTATTAACAATATTAATGAAAAGTGAAAAACATGACTAAAAATATATATTATCTAAGGGCCCGAATTACAATAGTCGATTACACTTCGAGTACTCTTAAGGGAATTGGGAGA